TTTGTTGATGCAACAGGTTCTGGACCAGCTTTAGGAAATGAAGCTTGAATATATCCAGATGGCATTGGTAAAAAGTCAGGATATATTGGAGCTGCAGAATCACAATATGTATATTCAACAATAAGTTCAGATACCTAAATTTATTATATATATATATATAGTATGTGTATGTAACTAAAAAATGTTTAATAGAAAAATAAAATATTTATATATATTTTTCCTTTAAATAAAATTTTATTTACATTATTACTAGCCCAGAATAATAAACCACCAAGTGGTGCAAAGATGATTCCAATAATAAAAAAAGTTGGTAAAACAGTTTTTGGTGTAAGAATGGGTTGCCACGCCTTTAAGCGCTGTTGTTTAAAAGCAGTATCTAAAATAATCAAACACTTTTGATGTTAAAAACCAAATTAACATATTTTAAAATTAATAATAATTTGAACATGATCTTCAACCAACTAACTTGCAGGTTTACGGCTTTTTGTTTCTGGAGCCATTGTTTTGAAAAAAATATTTGTTTAAAAAGATTTTATATGTTCAATTGTTTGAGAAGGGGTATTATTATAAAAAGAATGTCAAATAATGAACTCCATAATTTTAAAAATATTGTGTAACAACTTTCTTACTCGCTTTTGTTATATATAGAAAACTTTAAAAAAAAATTATTTTTTTTAAAAAAAAGATGGGAAAGAAAGGTTCTTTGTTTGCGCATTTTCAAAATTTTGATGCATACGCCAAAACTCTTGATGACTTTCGAGTAAAAACATACTATGGAGCAGCATGTAACTAATTTATTGAAAATTTTCAAACTCTTTTTGTTTTTTTATTAATTAATTAATTTAAATTTTTTTTTTTTTAGTAACAATTTTAAGTGCTATCATAATATGTATATTACTTTGGTCTGAATTCATAGATTACAGATCAACGGAAATAAAGCCAGAATTAGTAGTAGATAAAGGTAGAAAAGAAAAATTGACAATCAATATTAATATTACATTTCCACATGTACCATGCTATCGTAAGTTGATCACTTTATTTTTATTTTTTATACTAATAATTATAATGACTTTTAATAATAAAATTTGCTTAATAGTTTTAAGTGTAGATGTTATGGATATAGCTGGCGAAACACAAAATGATCTGGATCATGATATTTATAAAACACGACTTGATTCAGATGGAAATCTTATACATGTTGAAAAAGCTCAAGGTAATCAATATCATTTATTTTCTCGTTTTGTTCAATTCCAAATCATTTAATAAAAGAAATTTTTTTATTATATAGATCTCGGAGACCATACTAAAAATATTTTACATTTGGTTAATAAGACATCTTCAGATAACGAAACTTATTGTGGAAGTTGCTATGGCGGAGATCCTCCTGAAAGTGGTTGTTGTAATACTTGTGAAGATGTTCGTGAAGCTTACATTCAAAAAGGATGGTCCTTTGGTGATACAGATTCAATTGAACAAGTGAATAATTATTAGTGATTATTTATTTATTGTTTGTTTGTTGGTTCATATATGATTATATATGCATCACCATGATATTTATTTATTTTATTTATTTGAAAAACAAAAATAAGTGCGTTAAAGAAGGATGGAAAGAAAAATTTGCCGCACAATCTCATGAAGGTTGCAATGTGGCAGGAGATGTAAGAGTTAATAAAGTTGCTGGGAACTTTCATCTTGCGCCGGGAAAAAGTTTTCAACAAAATCATGTGCATGTTCATGATTTACTACCATTCTTAAGTGATGGTACCGTTCATGTTTTTTCACACAAGATCCATCATTTAAGCTTTGGCCCAAAAGTAGATGGTGTAGTAAATCCTTTAGATGGTGTAGGCAGTGAAGTCTATCAAGGTATATTATGAATCATCATCATTGCTAACCAATCATCTACACTTTTATTATTTGTCGCTTATTCACTTCTTACCTTTTTTTTATTACAATTATTAGGCCATTATATGTTTCAATATTTTGTTAAAGTTGTATCAACCCAATTTTATTTTTTGAATGGAACCACTATTTATACAAACCAGTACTCAGTAACACAATATGAAAGAGATTTAACTGGGAAAGGTTCATCTGAGCATGTATACAGTCACAATTCAGGATTACCAGGTACAATAACAACAACAACAATAATAATGATGAGCTTTTTTTCAAAAAAACCCCTAATTTAATTATTTCCTATTCACTTATCAATTAGGTGTATTTTTCAACTATGATATCTCTCCGATGTTAATTATTAATCGAGAAGAACGTAAAAGTTTTACACATTTTTTGACAGGTGTATGTGCTATAATAGGAGGAATTTTTACCGTTGCGGGAATATTAGATGGATTTATTTATAATGCAGAGAAAACACTAAAGAAAAAGATTGAACTTGGAAAACATTTGTAATTAATTTAACATAAGAAAAATTGCAATGCTTTTTATATAAACCTTTTAATTTTTTTGTTTAAAAAGGCAACTTTTGAAAGGAAATTAATTTATTGCATGTATATAGAGTATTAGCATTAATTCAATGTTAATAATGTTAAAATGTTAATTAATTACTCCAAATTTTTTTTAATAAACTGGGGTTTTATTTATTAGAAAAAATAAAGAAGGTTAATCATTTATCCTTACTTTTCATTTATGTCGACTTGATCAAGTATGATAGATGGACCAGGAAAAAAATATGGGGTGGTTTCTAGCAAAATGTGGTTAGGAACATAATAATAATAATATTTTCTGCAAGAAAACCATGATATTTATATGACAGTAAACAGTTTCAAGAAAAATATGCAGGTAAATTTTAATTTTTTTAAGAATCTTTAAAAAAAATTTTGAATCATCATTTATTATACGATGTTAGTTTATTGAATATTCTTTTTGAAGATGACGATGATTCATTTGGAGGCAATTAAATTTTCACTTCATTTACCAGGGATATGAATGAGCAAACATTTATGTGCACGGACAGACGATCAAGAATCATTAATATTTCATCTTAATTTTTTTTTCTGCCTCTTAATCCAAGAATATTGCACGGGGACGATACTGAACAATGCCTACGTAAATACTAGTTTATTCATCGGCATTACTGGATTTTATTCCAAAATTAGACCCTTTTTGAAGAGGAATGCCGTATCATAAGAAGTTATGAGCAAAAGTCTTTGGCTTGCATTTATCTCATAATACGACTTTATTTTGACCTATTGAAACAAGATTTACGTTTTGTTTTTAAATTTCTAAAACTCGAAAGGAAATTATCAAGCTTAATATTACATGCTATGATGCAGATCATCCAAATTTTACTGCTTTACAACCTCCTATTAATCCAAGTTTTAAAATTTATCAACTGTACGGAATTAGGAAATAATAATAATAATAATAATAATAATAATAATAATAATAATAATAATATTGAAAAGGTACGTTTTGATTCCGCATATAAGGTACGGAATTGGGAAAATTATAATAATAAGGTACTTTTTGATTCCGTATATAAGGTACGGAATTTGCAACACACCGAATATGAATATGAAAAGGTAATTTTAATTCTGCATATAAGGTACGGAATTTGTAACATATTAGTACTAATACTGAAAAGGTTCTAGTAATAGTATGCTTTTGATTCCGCGTATAATGTACGTAATGTGTAAAATAACTATTTTATTCATTATAAATAATAAATAAAATGTATAAATTGTCTTTAACATTTATTTTGATCAAACCCGCCTATATAATTATTGAATAATTGATATACATTCATTTTGCAATCTTCATAGATCTTGACTAACACTTCGCCTATATAATTATTAAATAATTGACAATAATAAAACGTTGATTAATTATATTACAAACAGCTTTGTAGATCTCGACTTTGATACTTCGATCAAACCCGCCTATATGATAATTGATAATAAAGTCCATTAAATATATTTTACAAACGGCTTCATAGATCTCGACTTTAACACTTACCTCGATCAAACCCGCCTATATAATTATTGAATAATTGGTAAACATTCGTTTTGCATCAATCGTCAATGACATCCTACCTAATCTTCCCAGACCAGAGAAGGCTACTGCCATGCTAGCCTACCTCTAGGGTAAGGATGGCAAGTACAGGAGATTGCAATTCACAGTGGGTTTGGCAGCCCTGAAATTGCATTTGGGCTCTGATGTTAAGAGGAAAGTTGTAAAATAGTGTTTGTTTTGTATAATTATTTTCCTAAATTCTCTATTTCTTTAATACTAACCAATTTATAACTTTGGGTAGGCCTATTCTATAGATTAAAATCATTGCATGTTCATATACATATTTGTCAGCAATATGGCCAGCAAGAGAAAAGTCATAAAATGGTTTGAATTTTGGTATGTTGTATAAATTAATCATTCCCATAAATTTTCTGTTTCTTTTTGATTTTTATTTGACCAATTGAACTTGTTATATATATACTATGTCATATTATTGTTATGATTGTTATAATTGTTATAGTTTATAAAATAGTCAGCCATATTAATATTATTTGAAAATCTGGAAAAAAATATAAAATTTTACAAGCAAAGCGTGATTTTGATAAAGATATGGAAGGGTCAAGTAATTCTTTAGGACTTTAAGAGGAATTTCGTATATACATGTATATAGTCGTTCTATCTAATTATTGATTATTATTTTTAAAACAAATATTCATCAATCAAGAATAACCACTTTACAAGGACATCTAAAAAACCATTTGTTAAAATATTGAATAACGCTTTAATGGTTGGTTTATATCATCATTTATCATATTATTATTATTATTATTATTATTAGCTACGTATAATAGGATGCAAATCAAAAACCATCAACATTTGCTAAAATCGTTATTTAAATAGAAGTATCTGATTCCTATATTAATAATATAGATTAATTCATGAGTAAGTATATAAATTATTGTTATATTTTTTATTTAAAGTCATTTTTTATATATTTCAAACAATATAAAAAAATTTTTTTTAATTATTTAGGCAGCATTTTTTTGTTGAACAGTAGGATTAATCTTTTTCCCGTCCTAATTAATCATTCAAATAAAATAAGCATTATTATTAAAAAAAAAAGAAAAAGAAATTAAAATAAATAATAAAAATCAAACCTTATTATAACGAATTCTTGGTGGAGGAGCACGATTACGACGGCCTTCACGAGATCTAACTCTGACTATGTGAGAATGGATGGCACAAGAAACACAATAATGTACTTTTATGTATAATTTTGGAAGTGCGTATTCTATTATTTTAGGAAAAAAAAAATTAAAAGGATGAAATCAATTCTAAATGAAACATAAATTGATCGATTGATTGTTAACCATCGTAAACTGAAGCCTCTGTAATATCACGAATTGCGGCACTTTCTACCATGTTTCGAATAGAAAACCTTTTGATGGATTTATCCTATTTATTAAATTATTGTAAATTGTTATTTATTATTTATTATTTATTAAATAATTATAAATGACGTTTATATTTTTGTTTTATACTTTTTTATTTTACCTTGGGTACACATCTGGCACAATTAGAACATCTTACTGGTTTAACGTGACCACGCCCATGTTTATTACGTCCATGATTTCTTCTTTTTGTAGTCTATTTATAAGATCATTAATCCATCAAAAGTTTTTAATTTTTAATTAATTAATTACGATTATAGACTTACCATTTTGACAATTAAATTAATATCTTTTTTTTTAAATCAAGATAAAAATGGATGATAAGTTTGTGTTCAGTTTGTTGTTATTATGAAAAACCTTGCTTGTCAAGAAATAAAAAACGAAGGATAAAAAAACTACGGTTCTTTTTTCTTTTACAAATTAAATCCAATTGGGCAAGATTGTTGATCATTTTTTATCCACATAATATTATTTTTTACCAGGATCTAATGCTTACCATGTCAAAACTTCGGTCAGTAATTTAAAAGATCAAGAATTTGAAAAGGCAGCAAGAGTTATGCCTCAAAATACACACATGTGAAAGGAGAAGAAAATGTTGATGGTAAGTCTATTTGGTTATGATTAGCTATTTTTATTTATTGATGTTACTTGAAAAGGACTTCCCCAATTAATATGTAATCATAAGATCTTACCCATATTATTTTTCCTCCAAAGATATTAGGAATTGTTCGTTTTCATTCTGTCTTCTTTTCCCATTGGACACCATTTATTTTATTTTGAAAACATAAGGGAATTTTCTTACCTTGTTTTTTTTTTAAATCCTTCTAATAATGATGTAATTCTTGGGTTCCATGATGAATTTGATGTAAATTAATTTCATATTTGTATTTTTATACAGAGATAATCAATCCTATGTATATATGAATAGGCTGTTATTATCATTATAATCATATTACATTAGTAGCGTTTAGCAAATTTCAACACTTTGAACCCTGAAATTATTTTGCAGTCTGTCCCATATAAGGAAGATACTTTAATATTCTAAAATAACGAAGCATATAATAACTTAAATTATAATTCATCATAACATTCAATGAGTGTAGTATACAAACGTGAAAAAAAGACTCGTTATTAATAAATAAAAGAAATAGGGAAACAAAATCGTTCGACAGCAACCAGTTATTGGAAATTTATTTCTTTTTATGTAACATGAATCATGACATAATATGATTGATTACATATATATATATATATATATATATAATAAATATTTACATTGCTATAATAAATTAATAAATAATAAATTATCTAAGAAAGTTTTATTTTCTTCTTGATTGATTGTGTATTAACAAAACCAAACAAGTAAATCACACAAGAATTATATTTTATTTCAGTTTCAAGATATACATCCATAAAAGGAAAACTTCTGGTTAAACAATCTGATAAGTAACTTTCATCAAAATGATCTAAAATCCCATAACCAATAAATTTGTATTCAAGAAGTTTATCTTTCATTGGTGTGTCATTGAATTGGATTGAGGGCGATTTTGAAGAACTAAAGAATTCGATTGTAATAGAGCTTGAGAATGTTCTAATTGCTTCATAGATTAGATTTTCAATTGCTTTAATAAATTTCGTAAAAATTTCTGCTGCTGCTTTCTCTGCTAAATTCAATTCTTTCATGCTCATCTCAATATTAAAATAATCTAATTCTTTTTTCATCATTTCCAATGTTAACGTTTCATTGTCATCTACAACTTGATTTTCTTCATCTATTTCTCCGGCATTATCTTCTTTATCCTTGGCATTATCATCATCATCTTTATCAGTGTTATTATTATTGCTATTGTTACTATTCCAATTCCAATAAAATTCACCAGTACGATAATATTCTAAAATATAATAGAATGCTTTTGGATTCCTGTCAAAGAAATATTCATTATCTCTATGTGTTGGTTTTAAGAGTGATCTGTTTCTTGGATGAAACATTTTTCCGAGCAATGTGTCAGGTTGTGATAATAAGGTTGAAATTTTTGTTTCAAACTAAATATGTAGATATAACTTCTAAGTATATACTGTATACATGTGTATTTATAAATTTATCATATTATTATTACCTTTGTTCCGCCGACATTCAATATTACATTTTGATCTAAATCAGTTTGCATTTTTATTTTTAGTTGTTGAAAGAATTTGTAAAATTTACAATGAAATAAGTTTTTTTGAATAAATGTTACACAGAATAAGCCAAAAATAGTAATATTAAACTTGGGTAAAAAATACGCGATCCACCAATACTAATAATTATTATGAATATGCAATTATGGAAATCAATTAAAATATTCTTGAACAGAGGTTTTTGTATTACATTTATTTCTTTTTTTCATTGTCTTTATCGATGTTTGTATCATCCACAACATCAGGGTCAAATATTGTTTCAAAGATCTTGCTCAATTTTGCTTGATGACTCTTTTGATTATTTTGTTCTTCAAATAACACCTTTTCATTATTATTTGCATTAAAAATTCCCATCTTTTTAAAATTATTTATCAATAGGTTTTTCAAATTTTTATCAAAATTTGATGATGCTTTTTTTCCATAATCGTCTTCCTTTAAATTTTCATCATTATTCTCATCATCATCATCATCACCAATAGTTTCAATATGTTTGATATTTTTACCATCATAAAGAAAAAACTTTATTTCACGATCATCGTCTTGATTTGTATTATCATCATTAAAACCTATTTCTGCACTTTGTAATTCAGGCCTCCTGGCCAAATCACGTAAATATTCCTGATCAAGCAATTTATTTGCTATTGCTACCAACCTTTCCAATTGTTTTTTATTTTGAGTCATTGCTGCATCCTTTTTATTTTTATCTGTTGATTCTGGGTTTTTTTGATTTAAATCTTGCTTTTGTTGATTTCGATTATCTGAGCCATCAAAAGTTTTATCCTTTTCATTAATGTGTTGTTTGATGCTAAAAAACATTTTTTTTATTAATATTATATATCATATATGTATTTAATATTTTTTTCCAATAACATTTTACTTTTTTATTTTTTAAATTTTTTAAGAACTACCAACATAATTAATCAATCAAAATTCTATCATATTGTTAAACTTTTGCAATGATACTGTACCTTGACTTGTCTTTCAACCCACTTTCTAATCCTTTTTCTATAGCGCGTTGATAATATGCATCAGGTACCACTGGTCTACATTCAATTGGATTGATCTTTGAGAAAGATGTATCATGAAAAGCAGGATGAGCGCATAAATATGATGTATGAATAACTACAAGATAATTACACGTGTACATCTCAGTAACTACAGAAATATAATTTTGTGGATTACAATGAAACTAATTTATCAAAAATAAATATACATATAAATTTATAAATTTAAGTTATTTTACAATGATTTTAATATTTTAATTTTTAATATTTTTTTTTTTTAATTCCAACAAACCTGAATCTCAACTCTACGAGGATTTCCAGTTAAATCACATGTAGTTCCATCACTCCAACGTTGAACCAAAAACTTTTTTCCTCCACCAACTTCTAAATCTGTACCTAATGTCCTTTTTTTTTCATCAAAATTATTATTATTATCATCATTATTTGAAGGTGATGGTAAGGTTGCATGACGCGGATCATACTTTCCCAAAAAATAAGACTCACTACTTGTATCTTCAATTAGACTCCCAGCTTGAATTATTTGGTGAAACTGTTTCACATGTCTAAAAAATATTATATATTTAATGATGCTTAAAAAACCAATTAGGTAAAAATCTAACACACACACACACACACACAAATATGTTACCTCATATGACAATATTCATAAGTCCACCATCCATTAATCTAAATAATAGAAATAATCAAATTTTAAATTTGTGGGGAGGGGGGTTTTTTTGATAATAAGAAAATCTAATTTACATAGTACAGGCAATTATCCAGCAAAGGCTCTAATAATACTAAACCTTTTTTCATAAGGTTAGTATTATCATCTTTATTTTCTTCAGGTTTATTGTTTTTATTATTGTCGTTGTCATTGTTTTCATTTTCTTCAATAGTCGTTTGATTGACAATATAAAGTATACTACAAACATATGATTGACCAGTTGATGTACGCATCATTATTGAAGTTGATTTTGATTCTTCAGATGATGATTGATCAATTTGTGTCATTGCCTGGACATTGTTGGGATCCTGATAAATGTTATTTAATTAAATAAAATACTCGTAAGAATCATAAAAATTTAATTTCTGGTAAGAGTAACTGCTAGTACTTGTTCAATGACATGATTGTCAATCCTGCTACTTGGTATCAATTGTTTCTCTTGAAAAATGACTTTATATTGCGGATGTGCTAAAAGATCTTCATAAACCCATGAAACTGAAAATGCATTTGTGAATATAAATGTCGTTGATAATATTAATAAAAAAAATGTGATGTAAATGACAAAAGTAAATTTTCCAAGTAAACTTGTAAATAACATTATTTTTTTAAAAAGTATTGATTCAATAATGTGATAGCATTTTATGTACATAAATTTACCCCCTGCAATTATACCCGGGGTCCTCTTTACCACGCTATTACTATTTGATTGGTAGAAGTGTAATGTGACTACCTAAACAGGTTGATTAATGTAACCGAGGTAAAAAAAAGATCATCAAAAATCAAAAAAAAAATTTTCTTTATTAATTTTTAAAAAAAAAAAGAACAATGGCAGCAAAAAAAAGTAAAAAAGCCACTGAATCGATTAATTCACGTCTTGCACTTGTCATGAAAAGTGGTAAATACACTTTAGGATATAAATCTACGCTTAAAACTTTACGTCAAGGAAAAGGTTAGATTTAATTGCATTCTGTGTAAAAATTTTTTTTTTGAATTGGTTGATTGATCGGTAACTAATTAGTTAACTATTTATTTATTTATTTAGCAAAACTTGTTATAATTTCTGCTAATTGTCCACCATTGAGAAAACATGAGTTAGAATATTATGCTATGCTTTCAAAAACTTCAGTGCATCATTATTCTGGAAGTAAGTTTATAAATGATATTAATTTTAATAATAAATTACCTCCATATAAGAACCCTCCATATAAGAACACCCTCTCTATAAGAACATATATGTTGGAACCAATTACTATTAAGCTTATAGAAAATACATCCACCTAAGAACAACTTCTCTATAACAACATTTTTAGAAAAGGTTACTATGCTCCCGACAGGGTTCTTATATGGAAGTACGACTGTAATAATAATTTTGTTATTGTTGTTGATAAATTTTGATTGATTATAGGCAACATTTCTCTTGGTACTGCTTGCGGTAAATACTTTCGTGTTTGTGTGTTAAGCATTACTGATGCCGGTAAATTAATCTTTATTATTTTGTTTTGATTTTTTTTTCTTAAAAATTATTATAATTGATATTCTTTCCTCCAATTAATTATTAGGTGATTCTGATATTCTTGCAACTTCTAGCCAATAATTTCATAAAATTTGTAAAAAAATAAATGAAAAACTTCAAGTCTATACATATTTAATTTTTTAATTTAATATTAACCCGTGTAGAACATTTTACTCAAAAGCTAATATTAATGACTTGTAGAAATTCTCGAAATAAATTTTTTCTATTAATACTCAACACCTAATAAAAATCCAGTTTTGAGCAATATATGAATAAATATTTGAAATCGTTTAAAAATACTGGTTCTCGATATATTTTTTTTTGCCCAGTAAAATATCTCACATAATATTAAAGAAGTTGAATGAAATAAAAAAAAGAGAAAATTTATAAATAAAAAGAAAGACTTTTTTAAGAAAAATAAAGTTTTAAAGTTTATTGAAAGATTTTGAACGCGATGTTATTTATGGATTATGGAAGGACGATTACTAAGATCTTTACTGCTAAACCTTGTACCAGAGAGACCCAAATTTTGGATGAACGTGACAAAAGAGAAATGGTAGATATAATAAAATAGGTTAATCAGTTAGCTATTATGGAAGAATCGCAAAAAAACACCTTTTGTTTGTTGGTGAAAAAAAAAGACCCAATTCCATACATGATGGCTAAATTCTAAGAGTGCTGGAAGGCCTCCCGACACATTTAATAAAGATATGCTGGCAAGTATGATTCCACCTGTATATATTGTAATGATAATGGAACAACAGTTGATGCAAGAACATTTAACAATAGATGTCTAAATGCACCTCCTATTGAAATAAAACAATTTTATCTTGAAATTATTTTATGTAAATGATTTTTGGATGAAGCAAATTCTTCAAATGATATTGGAACAAGGAGTTTGTCTAATAATAATAATAGTCAAAATCAAAAGAAAAGAAAAAATAACAATTGAATGATTTTATGATTCAACAAATATTACACCTCAAAACAAAAAACAGTTGATCAAGCATTGACAAGAATGTTTGATTGTTGCAGATTACCCTTTCTTTGGTAGAAAACTCATTCTTCATTGAGTTTGTTAATCAATTAAAGCCTACATATAAACTACCTACTAGATTTAGATTTTGTTAATGAGGAAGTAGCAAATGTGAATGTAAAAGTTGACATTGAATTAAAACAACAAACCAATATTACTTTATCAATGGCAGATGGACTGATCCAGTTGGAAGATCTATATATAACTATGTAACATTGACTTCAAATGGCAAAGAATATTTATTAAATCTAATGAATTATTCTGAATTTTTCATATAAATGATTTTTTGGTTAATTAAATAGAACAAACATTGATTCTGGAATAGTCACAGGTGAAGCTGGAAATGTTAAAGTAGCAAGGGAAGTTATCAATAAAATACCCAAATATCTTAAATTTAAGATGTATTTACACACTATAAATCTAATATTATTGATAAACCAAAAAAATTTTTATGGAGTTATAATTTTCTTTACAATTGTTTCATTTTTCAATCATTCTCACCAAGGAAATCATCATTGAAAGAAACAATTCAAAGATTTGAAATTTCAGGTGATAGTTTAAACACATATATTAAAACCAGATGGTCTTCTGCATGGAATTGCTTGAATTCTGTGAAAAGACTTGAAATGGAATCCTACAGTTATAACTAATAGAGATGTTTTGAGTTTATTACAACAACATGATTTTAGAAGCTGTTGTTTCGATGCAAGTTAATAATGTTAATTTGGCTGATTTCTTTGTTCATATGTGTCTGTCATATTGGTGCTGCAATTAAAAAAATCTTTTGAAAATCATTAAAAAATTATTGTTATGAAGTATATAATAAACGATTAACTGATTTGGAGAATATAATGGATATTTGTTAACATACTTTTTACACCCAATGCATCATGGAAGAGGATTGAAACAAGGCAATAAATATTACTATAATTGCAGCAAAACTTTGGCAAGATTTTGGTAATGGGATGAAATCATATTCTGAATTGCTTTGTCAATTAAGAAAATATTGCGAGATAGTAAATCTTGGACCTATCAATTGGCTGGTTAATTAGAACGAATTTACTACGGAAGTCATGTGATGCGCTAAATATTACATTACCATTTTTCTAACGGCTACGCTGCACATTGCGCAGTCTCACATGAAAGATTATTCCTATTACTATTTATTTTATTTAGATAAGCATATTATTGGAGAGCAGAATAGCACACATCACGTTATTTGTACTGCCACAAGAGGTATAAATACACTTGGCTTTAGACCAAGTTAAATGAATTAATCAATTGTTAATATTGTTGATAACAACCTTGATAACAACAACATAATAATAACTCTTAATAAATATATAACCTTACATAAAATAGTCTTTGACTGTAAGTAACCAATAAACCCAGTGTGATTGACCCCCCAGCCATTCTAATGGTTAATGGTCTAGCCAACCTTTAATTATATTAGTTTGGAACCTTTTAATTATTCAGATACATCTCAATGGGATACCTTTGGGATATAGTTAGTAAAATAGAACCTAGGGACCCTTTGTCCAAAAGGATAAAGTAACTTTGGCCGTAAGTCAGCGGGTAGGCTGTGTGTTGAATGTAAAATAACCTATTAAATAGGAAACTCGGATTGCACGCTCACAATATAAATTGAATGAATCATCATATGATGGTCCACACACTAGGCTGGATAATCCGATTAATTGATCTACACATGAAGATGATTATAATCACATACATATTTTCTGTTTTCTGTTATTCCACATATAACTAAGTGCTGAACAAATTTTTTTCTATTTTATGGGCAAAGAAGGAATAGGTTATCTACAAAGATGATTGAAAATTTAGCCAAAATTCATTCTTATTATGTCAGTCATGCAAAAAAAAAGAATTTAATTACTATGAAAAAGATATTACAGAAAGAGAATTTACTTTTTTATCTACAATGAATTTAGGTGAAATAGGGACTGAGGAAAATGAAATTTTGAATTCATATGATAATAAATCAGATAATGTTATTCATTTGGATACTAATATTGATTGGGTGAAAATGAAAATTTAGATGAAAATAGTATGTATATATCAAAGAATTGAAGAGATTGTACCTGGACAAAAGGATCGGAACAATTGCTTTTGTTGATTGCGCAAAAATATACATAATAAACATGTATGAAATTTATATAATTTGCGGTTTAGGTTCTTGTAAATATCTATGCAAAATACAATGCATCTAGGTTCCGTAGAACTCGGATAAATATATAAAAATGAAATTCGATTAAAAAATTTTCTTTGACAATCACTAAATTTCTGATGCTACTCAAATTCTCTATAATAATTTTAATTTAAAATTTTAACTACTTTTAATATTTAGTTGGGTATCCTTTGCTCTTTATACAAGCCTGAATTCTACTAGGCATGCTTTCAATCAAATTCATTAAAACACTTTGAGGAATTTTATTCCATTCCTCTTTTAAAGCAGCCTCAAGTTCAAGTTCTTTAAGATTTCTTAGATTGTTAGGACAACTTCTAATACGATATATTGTTGTGGTGGGAAGCCAAGTATTTTAAAATACTTTTATATGAGGCTCCACTTTTATAAAGACCAACTATTTGTCTGCGTTGAGCTTCAGTTAAATTAGACTTTTTTTTTTTGAAATTTTTTTTTCTTAAAAATATGCAATAAAAAATAATTTTTCAGAATCACCAAACTTGGGTTTTGGACGATTTCAACCTCTATCTCACACATATTGATGCTACATGAATTCGCAGACAGAACAGTGAGACCAAAAAGGCCAACTGCAATTCTAGTTCATTGTCAATGGATTCTTTATGAGATTTAGATTGTCTTGGGCGATGTTGCCTTCATTTTTACAATCGTAATTATAAGCCTCGTATTATATAACTCACAAACTCTCGGTTGGTGAACGATTGAAGTTTTTGTTGATAAGTGCGTTAACTATAAATGCTTCTAGGTCTAATTTCTTGAGTAGAATCTCTTCTTCTTTTGTCGAAGGTATTGTCGGAGGGGTTTTTGCTTGTACAATGACATCTTTGATTTGGGCTGGTCTTATTCTGGATGCCCTTCTGAATCTATCATTTTCTAAAGCATTGTTGAACTGAATGGTTATTTGATCTGCAGTGTCTAAACCTGCGAGCCCTTTCCTATCTTCTTAACAATATTATACTGTCAGAGCGTGTAGATACATGAGACGGTCTTCTGTACTTGTGGAAAGCCTCTCTATTCATTATGGTAAGACTAATCGGTTTCATCGGCCTGAACTGAATTGATCCTGACGAGTTCCTAATTTGATTTTTCTGGAATGGAATCGGGAGCAAATTGTTTTCCACGGGCTTTTGGAATATGATTGGACGTTGAGCTGTTTTGTCCAAGCTAACTCGCTCGAGCCTTTTTTTTTCGGTTTGTATGTATGGCAAGCCAAACAATTCAAAAGTCGTTTTAATGAAATTTCAAGCTAAAAATATTTTTTGATTTCTTTAAATTTAATTATAAAACCAAGTAATTGAAGATGTTTGGAATACTTTAACAAGAGCAAATAATGATTCAGATTATTTACAAAATTAATCGATTAATCTTGAAAGAAATATAAGTTCGCTGTTCCATTTAATTTACAACGTGATTGAAAATAGCATTCATTAACAAAATTGTTAGTTCAGAATTTAATTTTATCTCGACAAATATATGAACCTGAAATGCTTTTTGTAAATCCACAGTCATCAGGCGGTAAACCAAAATTAGAATAATTCTATTATCTTCGGAAGGATCTCTTTGGTAGATATTGCCAATATCTTTGGAATAAGCATTAAAAAATTATATAGAAGATGACACGATCTAAACATTCCTTCATATAGTAATGAATTGGATCAAATTATTTTGAATATAAATGAGTCACAAACCATATATTTGGGTCAAAACATACTTGAGAATAAATAGCATGTGAACATTTAAGAGAAGCATTGAAAAAAATATAAGCTCAAAGCATTTGTCAAATTCATCAAAAAAAAAATTTTTATAATTTTTATTTATCACTTCACTTGATGTTGAATAAATCACATCATTCTCATCTGTATAAATTCATTTTCATTGAGCCCAATCTTTAATTCTCATACTAATTCTCATGGATAACATGTTTTTGTATCTGAATTAATATACAGTGTGTAACAAAAATAATTGGAAAATTATTTCTGTTGTTTAAATGCATGTTTTGTACTCAAATTAAATCCAATTCGTGTTGCGTAACTTTCAAAACAAACGAGAATAATAAATTTATCTTTTTAGATCATCTGTTTTGTTTATTATTTTTCAATTGTTGTAAAAATTGACTTTAAAAT